TTCGGTCCTCTGTTAAGGTTTTTCCTGGCTGCAAGTTTGCCCACATGATTTCATCTCCTCTTCACATGGCCCCCTCCAAGTCACCCTTGCAGTGAAGACCAACTCGCCGCTTCTCTTTAGGGTTCCACTCGAGCAATGGCTTGTCTAGTGATGTCACTTGATGGTTTTCTCAGAGTATCGCCAGCCAATTCATCTCCATTTCTTCCTGCTTATTTGTTACACAATTGGTTCCTACTGGGTTGGTTCGCTCCCAGAGATCCCTTCCTGTTGCTGATCGTTTCTGGCCATCTGATCTTGAGTAGTAATGAGCAAAGATTTGCAACTGTTGATGAAGGTCTGTAGTTTGCATGAGGTGCTCTTCATAAAGCGCCAATTCTCTGATCCATATGGTAGCATTAACCTCACATTGGAGTTGAAAATCCAAATCTTATTTTTGATGCTGAGTGCTGTTGACCTCCACACAGACTTAGGAGTGATGAGAGCTTGTCTTGCTTTCCCGATTCTTGCTTTGATATCCTCATCAGTTTCGCCTGTAGTTGAAACGATGCTTCCCATCTAGGAAGGTGAAGGAGGGTGTTCCTTTCAGGTTTCTTCCATTTATACTGATTGTTGTCTGTGATTGTTGCTGTTGTTGTTGCCCAGGAATCTTCATCACCTCTGTTTTCCTATGTTCACCTGAAGTCATTCGTATCTTTGATGCTTCTTCTGCCAACTTGTTGCTTTCCATTTGCATATTTTCAAGTTTGTGGGAAATCAGATGTCTAGATATAACTAGTGTTTTTTACCAGTGTTACTCTGTGAAGTAAATACAAGGATATTCAAAATTATAACTTAGCATTAGTCTTTTAATTGTTTTGTTTTAATTCAGCCAATTACTTACTTATATCTAACTAAACTACTGACGGATTTCTATCTGTCTTTATGAAATATTATCTCAACAAACTATTTAAATGAAATGAATGCCTTAATTCAAAGTTGCTGCCTGTGTCTGATAAGTGATCAGTACATAGATAATATGCATCAAAACAGAAGGCGGTAAGTTAATAGCCACGGATGATGCAATCAGTAAGTCTTGGGAATGAAAATGTGTCATACAGAGAGTACTAATACCACTAATAGTGAGTAATAATTAGTCATCATCAGTGTAGAAATATAGAAAATTCCGTGAAATCTTTGAAAGTTACTAAAATAATGAAAGTAGGGCATTAAACACTTTTTTTTTGCTTTATTATTAACATTTATTCCTTCTTTTCTATGCGCAGCATAGGTTCTCAGCTGTACGCCTGCCTCCATTGCTGTTGATTCGGTGTTACCACCTTCTACCGTCTCCGCGACTACCAGTAGACTTTCATTTCGTTTTTGCATTTTCTTCATCATGTCACAGTCACACAACCAGCCAGAGTTGCACTCAAGGGCATGCTCAGAGTGTGATATCATTCAACGGTTTCATTTTCCCATGCTCAATCCGCCCTTGTTACCTACACTCAGAATTCACTGTCGCATATCCTAACTGTCCAGCCATCTAATCGTAAGCTTTGACAAAAGGTATTTGTTAATGTAAGTCTGTGTTTGCACGCTGGAAGTGATTTTGGTAACTTGCCAAGTTACTTGAACTAGGCAGAAGCATAGACTTGACATCAGTCTCAAAAATGTCGAAATATTCAATGACAAATCGAAACAGAGAAAGCGTTGTAGAGAAGTACGTGTAATTAACTTGTCATACATTTCAAGAAAGTAATAATAAGATAAAAGCACTAATAAGAATTTTAGACAAATGATTAAAAACAAAACACCCTCCAGGCAAGGAAATGTTCTCGGGTTCAACACTCGGCCGACGCACTCACGAACCCAGCTCAGTCTGTTGTAATGCAAGTAAACAACGATGATGGGGTGTGAGGCTAGCAACCCCATCCTGTACAATGACGCCATTGCTACTGAAACTTCGAAGCTCAATCTTGAAGTCCCATGTTCCACTCTGAACGCAATGGAATAAATTAAGTTATTAACTGAAAACAACAGACATAATTTAGTCGAGTTTACGCCTGAAATAATTTAGAGTACTGTCCCAATTAGCTGTCATCTGTCTGAACAAAGGAATATATACTGTATGAAAAAAACAGAGTAAAGACACTAAAGGATGTTTTATCTAAGTATAAATATCCTAAGAAGTTTATCAATAAGTATTTTAATTCACTGCATGTCAGTCAGGAAAACTGTTCAAACCGTTTCAAGGAAGCTTGTGTTTATTAATCTGCCAGTTAAAATGGATGAGGTACAAAAAGTAGCTTAGAAGAAAACTTGATAAAGCTATTGCACAGCTCTTATTCCTCAATATCATCAAGCGGATGGTTTAAAAATCTGGAAATGATCGGTCGCCAGTCTTCAATGCGAATACACTCTGCGAATAATTCTGACTGCTTTTTGTCGAAGCAGATATACAGATCTTACAGAAAAAAGTTGTTGTACACTCGCATCACTGACAATTTGCTCTAGTAGCTGGAAAGAGCTGAAGCCAAAGTTCGATAAAACAGCCTCTTCTTGTTTACGGAGATGATATTGACTCTGTCAAGTTCAAACCACCTTGTGTTCAAAAACAGTTTATCATCGCTTTGTCGGTTAAAGGATCAATCCTGTAGAGACTTTAAAGCAAAACAATTTAGTTTATCTAATACCCTACCTACAATGATTGTCAGGTCAAATACATACGTCAAACTAGTAGATCAGTGGTAGACAGACCAGCCGAGCATAAAAACCTAGCAAAATCTAGATTGGTTGACCCAAGTAAGATAAGAAATCTAGAGAATAGTCCAGCTATACCACTACATGCGATCATACACAACCATACAAATAGGATGAGATAGGATGACAGTTTTGAAATCTAATGTCACAGGGTATAGGGAGAGATTGATAACAAAAGCTTTGTTTATCGAATCAACTGCAAATACATGTAATAGGAATGATTCAACACCTGTCCGTCCAGATATCTGGAAAATTTTACTGCCCCTACGACAAATAAGAGAAGACAAAGAAAGCTATAAAACTCAAGTTTCGAAGTCATGTGATTACAATTGATGCAATGATTATGAACAATGAATTTTGTTAGAAACCTTGTCATCCAGTAAATAATACCGTTTCTCTGACTGTGTGATACATCTAATACACAAACTAATATGGAATTACTTACTACCACAGTGCCCAAGTTTTACACATAAATTAATTTATCATCGCATTGAACCTTCCACTGTAAGTCTTGTTTTGATACCAGGAGAGACGTACTGTTTACAAAACATACCCATCCAGACATCGAAATAAGAACAAGCAATTCAACGAGGAGTCATTTTTCTCGAAGAATTCATTTAGTTAGCTGCAAAATCGCAATTATATATATAATTATTTCTGTATACATGTGTGTGTACATAGCACATGGATAAAAATTAATCTGGAGTATTTTGGACATCATAAAATACCATAAAAATACTGATAATAATTAAACTTGGAATTATACCTACGGTAGAAGGACGGAGTGCAGAAGTTTCTTCTCAGTACATAAATCAGGGTTTTTCATCCGTGTGGTTGAGGCCTTAGCATTTCAAACGATATGGAAGAATACCATTTTCTAGAGGCTGCTTTTGACTTAGTAGATAATGTTAAGTGACCTTCCCTTAAATATTCAGTGGTCATTGTCGAGTATAAATTCAATTATAGCATTCCTTATTGATCCTCTGTTATCTTTCTTTAGTCAGGTGGAATAATATACCTTGGATCTTTTGGGTAAAACATATATCGACATACTCGTTTACCTCGTTCCACAGCAGTCAATGGAGTCGTAGAGACACACAGAAGTGGTCTAGTGCAACAGTTTATCTTTCAAGTTATTGGAGAACATTGAGCAGCAATAGAATATCATCACTTTGTTAACTAACCTTTCGTTCACTCTCCTCACGCACTACATAATTTGTTTTGATACCTGTCTTTATGCTCTTTAATTAACATACAACTACTTGAATTTTTGAAAAGAATGGATACTGAACAAAGAGTACTCTTTCCGATAACCCCTTCATCATCAGGCTCTACAGTTATATATACACATTATAGTGAATGAATGAATGAATTAGTGTTATGGACAACATTGATGTTGTTTAAATAACATCGAATCAATAATAGTATTATCAATGGATTACAGCTGAATATCATCAACATAAAATAAGGTGAATGTCGGAGATATTAGGATAGATAATATTACATATTCATGAATTTATAGCCTCAACTGAAGGTTGGTCAGGGCAACAGTAGGGGCTGGCTGGAAGTGCTTCTTTTGAACACAGAGTACTGGTTGTTTAAATGCCTTTTATATTACACAACTTTAGCCTAAACTTACTAGACTTCACCTCCTTCCTTAGTTACAATTCGATTATTAGTCACTGTTTTGAAATATTTTCATAATGTAAAAAAATACACCAAACTAATTTTTATTCATGGCTGAGGTGTACTGTTATCTTCCTTCTTTGATTTATGTCATCTCCACAGTCATTTTGACCTACATTACAACCTTTTTACCAAACTTACATCTCACTCCTTTCTCTCCACACAACGCTTTATTAATGCCAAAATACACTACAGAGTTCACATAAATTACGTCTTCGTATCTTCTTGTCAAAATTCATTAAAGCGAACTAATAGTTATGAAATCAATTCATTGATGGGTATTTCGCAATCTTATTATGCAGTTATGATTTTCATCAAGGCAAGAAAAACACCAACTAATCACTTAAACTTTACAATATATATAAACAATAATATTGCACTATGCTTTAAACAGTGCACATTTATTCTGCAATATAAATGATCACTGATCATAAATAAAAATGAAGAAAATTTTAAATGTGATTAAAAAACTTGAAATCTTTGACCATAAAACCATGCCTGTAATAATATCAAAAATGGATTGGAAGTATATTCATGTCGGTTCCCTTGCAAATATATTCCTAATCCTCGTCGTTATGATCAGTATCCAACAAGTTCAAAGCAATCAACAGATAGACAGCATTCGTATAAATGAAACAAACTTAGACGACAAAAGTGATAAACTTCCACTTGAAGATATATTGGAAAATATAAATATGACGAGTAATAATTCCAAAGATAGAAGAAGTGGTGTAATAGGAAAAGTGAGTTCCACCAGTAGCACGAGTACGATGGGTGGAGCACTGTTTGGTGGTCACAGTAACGGTTCTCTGGGAGGAATGTCAGGTGAGAGCCACGTTGGTGAAGATGGATGGAGTTCGACGGTTGGGAGTGGGAGCAGTCATCATGCACAGCATCTGGTAGTAGGTGGTGGTGGTGGTCAGCAAGAATTACCCACTGAATCATTTACATTAAATTCTGGTGGCGGATCTCATCAGTCTAGCGCAGCAGGCTTTGGTGGTCGTAATAATGGTCGTCTGGGAGGAATGTCAGGTGAGAGCCACGTTGGTGAAGGTGGATGGAGTTCGACGGTTGTGACAGGAGGTGGAGCAGGAAGCTCCGAATCACATGTGACGGATTCTGGTAGGGGAACTAGCGTGAGTGGCAGAGAACAGACAGCCGTATCGACGATTGATTTTGGGGGTGGTGGGAGTGGGAGCAGTCATGTTGTTCGGAATGTGACAGTTAGTGGTGGTAGTGGTGGTGGACAGCGAGGATCATCCACTACAACAGTTACAGTAAATTTTGGTGGTGGATCTCATCAGTCTAGCGCAGCAGGCTTTGGTGGTCGTAATAATGGTCGTCTGGGAGGAATGTCAGGTGAGAGCCACGTTGGTGAAGGTGGATGGAGTTCGACGGTTGTGACAGGAGGTGGAGCAGGAAGCTCCGGATCACATGTGACGGATTCCGGTAGGGGAACTAGCGTGAATGGTAGAGAACAGACAGCCGTATCGACGATTGATTTTGGGGGTGGTGGGAGTGGGGGCAGTCATCATGCACAGCATCTGGTAGTAGGTGGTGGTGGTGGTGGTGGTGGACAGCGAGGATCATCCACTACAACAGTTACAGTAAATTTTGGTGGTGGATCTCATCAGTCTAGCGCAGCAGGCTTTGGTGGTCGTAATAATGGTCGTCTGGGAGGAATGTCAGGTGAGAGCCACGTTGGTGAAGGTGGATGGAGTTCGACGGTTGTGACAGGAGGTGGAGCAGGAAGCTCTCAATCACATGTGATGAGTTCCGGTGGGGGAACTAGCGTGAGTGGTAGAGGACAGACACCCGTATCGACGATTGATTTTGGGGGTGGTGGGAGTGGGAGCAGTCATGTTGTTCGGAATGTGACAGTTAGTGGTGGTAGTGGTGGTGGACAGCGAGGATCATCCACCACAACAGTTACAGTAAATTTTGGTGGTGGATCTCATCAGTCTAGCGCAGCAGGCTTTGGTGGTCGTAATAATGGTCGTCTGGGAGGAATGTCAGGTGAGAGCCACGTTGGTGAAGGTGGATGGAGTTCGACGGTTGTGACAGGAGGTGGAGCAGGAAGCTCTCAATCACATGTGATGAGTTCCGGTGGGGGAACTAGCGTGAGTGGTAGAGGACAGACACCCGTATCGACGATTGATTTTGGGGGTGGTGGGAGTGGGAGCAGTCATGTTGTTCGGAATGTGACAGTTAGTGGTGGTAGTGGTGGTGGACAGCGAGGATCATCCACCACAACAGTTACAGTAAATTTTGGTGGTGGATCTCATCAGTCTAGCGCAGCAGGCTTTGGTGGTCGTAATAATGGTCGTCTGGGAGGAATGTCAGGTGAGAGCCACGTTGGTGAAGGTGGATGGAGTTCGACGGTTGGGAGTGGGAGCAGTCATCATGCACAGCATCTGGTAGTAGGTGGTGGTGGTGGTCAGCAAGAATTACCCACTGAATCATTTACATTAAATTCTGGTGGCGGATCTCATCAGTCTAGCGCAGCAGGCTTTGGTGGTCGTAATAATGGTCGTCTGGGAGGAATGTCAGGTGAGAGAATTGTTGAGGAAGGTGGAATGAGTCCAACGGTTGTGACAGGAGGTGGAACTGGAAGCTCCGGATCACATGTGACGGATTCCGGTAGGGGAACTAGCGTGAATGGTAGAGAACAGACAGCCGTATCGACGATTGATTTTGGGGGTGGTGGGAGTGGGGGCAGTCATCATGCACAGCATCTGGTAGTAGGTGGTGGTGGTGGACAGCAAGAATTACCCACTGAATCATTTACATTAAATTCTGGTGGCGGATCTCATCAATCTAACGTACCGGGCATTAGTGGTAATAATAATGGTCGTCTGGGAGGAATGTCAGGTGAGAGAATTGTTGAGGAAGGTGGAATGATTCCAACGGTTGTGACAGGACGCGGAACAGACCGCTCTGACAGAGAAAATGTAGATTCCGCCAATGGCCAAAATGTCAATGGTGAAGGATCAACAAAAACAGAGGTAACAGATACCAATGGTGACATGGATGGTGACTTTTCTTCCTCTGTTCACAATTCATCAAGAATTATTGTAACAGATTCAAAGGCGAAGAAAACAAGTCGACCTTTACAAAAATATTGGAAATATCACAAAAAGCTTTCATCATATCACTTTAAAAAATTTAAAAATCACAAGCGTCCATATGGTTCACTGTTTTCACCTGAAGCCTATTCAAACAAGTACAAAAAGCAGTCAAGATATAAATACGAATATAATAATGATCTCGATGATACAGACAAACAAGATGATGATTTCACTGATACTTCAGCGGATTTTGATGGTTCAAAAGATATTTTCGAAGAGTAACTGCAATAAAAGAGGTTCAGTGTTATTCTTCTTTTAGAGGAATTATCTTTGCTATGTAATGGAGACAATTAAATTTAAATTTAAATATATTCTACACTAACATAAATATTGTAATACGATATTAATAACTAACTTTACAATGTTCATAAAATGCTTATTTTTAACATTGTCACAATGTGTACTGAAACATTTACGATTATTTTCAATGAAATACATGAATGTGATATTTTATCAACTGAAATAAATAACATTCATATGCTTTCTGTTTTCTGCTTTTGAAAAAAAGGGGAGAATTCAGATTGAAACTAGTTTGAAATAAGAGGCCATTATTATATTAAATAATTCAGAACGCGACGATTTGACACGGAGATGACGGGTATAATTAGAAGAAGCAAATGACAAGAATATACCACAGTAGAGAATAGGAATTCGATGGAAATTATGTTTGGCGTTAAAAACAAAACCGATTAGCACAGTTTATGTATTAAGTTGGGTAATTTTCAAAAAATTAAAAAAAATAAAGAATGATTCAATATGCTGATGATTATCTAACTTATTTTATTAACCTGTTTTAAAATGAATAGGTATTGATTTTTCTATATCTAAAATTAGTCAATGCGTTCTTATCAAGTTATCCTTCTAAACAGCAGATTAGTAATTTAACTTTCAGACATCATCGAAATTTACATAGACTAGTTCGGTCTGATGATTCGTATAACATAAAGAGAAGTGAAATAGGTCTGCCTGTCTGTCTGTTTTCGACATAGATATTTGCACCAATGTGCACCAGATCAAGTCGCCACACCCCTCACGTGCAGCACACAAAGCAAGAGAAGAAAGTAGAAGAAATGCATAATAGAGACAGTAAACAGAGATGTGAGAAAAAAGGAATAGTAATAACGAAGAACAATATAGTTTCATTGGAAATCATAAGTCACAAGGAGTGGATGCATCTGCGTCAGCCATATCACCAATTGTTTCCAGCCTTCATTGATTTTTACCGTCCCGAGGACCCCAACCAGTCAGGAAGTCTACACCTTCCTACGTGGCTGACTGGCTGGCTTAAACTAACTGTTGTGGATTTCATTGACTGGTGCCATGTTTTGGTTTGACCACCACTGCCTATTTTCCAGCTTGACCCTATGTCAGCTAACATTGCCTGTCGAGAAAGGCCATCGATGACTAGGCATATGTAACACATGTACTAAACATCTCAGTCGATGTAATTTCACAGCCTCGATGATTGATTTCCCCTGCTTACCTAGAACCTGACGCCTAACCTTAATATTGCTCACCTAATTATACCACTTCACACGGGAGATAGAACTCAGGCACCTATGATCAAAGACAGCTATTCTTTTCAAGTCTACCACTCTCAATGGCCATAAAAGAGGACGGATGGGACTACTGAGCAGTACACCCGCCCTTTGGTCAATAGCCAGCCGGATATCACGTCTACGCCAGAGACGGCGTAAAGCGGCATATGCGAAACTAGCCCTCTGTATCCATGCTGAGATTACGTCAGAGATCAACCCGTCGGCACTGGCTAATGGTATTTCCCAAATAAGTGAAGCGGTCAACGTGCTCTACCACTTCACCCCCTATTTCTAAACTAGGAGTCAGTGTAGTCCAGTCCTGTAACATCATCTTACATTTGGAGGGAGCGAATCGCATGCCAAACATTCTAAGATTCCAGCTCAAGGTGTTCAGAAGACTCTGCTTTATTTTGTCAGAGTCCTCGCCTAGAAGGACCATATCGTCTGCACATTCTAAGTCAACAAGATTATTCCCTGGTAAAAACTCAATGCCTGTGTCTGTGAAGTGAGTTAGGGTTAAGTCCATCAGTACATCTATGATGAAGTTGAATAGAAAAGGAGATAATGGGCATCCCTGACGGATACCACAAGTCGTCACCACTTCAGATGACAACTCTCCGTAAGCCCTCACCTGGCTGCTTGAGTTCGAGTAGAGTGTCTTAATCAGTGCAATATATTTTCTGAGCATTCCCTTTACAGCCAAGCATCTCCAGAGAACCTCTCGGTCGGCAGAATCAAATGACGCCTTTAGGTCAAGAAATATAACGATTGTTGGGCACCGGTAAGAATGCCTATGTTCTAGAATCTGTCGGAGGGTGAAGATATGATCAATACACCCTCTTCCTGGTCTAAAGCCTGCCTGGTTCTCTCGAGTTTGTGCCTCCCGTGCACCAATTAGTCTACGCATGATTATTGAGCCTATGACTTTAGATACTATATTAGTCAGGGTAATCCCTCTGTGATTATCAAAGGAAGACTTGTCTCCCTTCTTGTATATGGGGATAATCAGTGACTTGCACCAACCCGACGGGACTTTCTATGATTCCCAAACTCTGCCTAGTGTCTCCGTTAATGCAGACAGTAAACTGTCTCCACCGTACTTAAATATCTCTGAAATCATTGCATCGGGTCCTGCTGCTTTGCCTTGTTTCAGATTAGTGACAGATTTAGTAACTTCAGTTAAGGATGGAGGACCTGTGCCTATATCCCATTCAGGGAGGTGTTGGATGTTCCATAAGTTGAGCGTAGCTGTAGGCCTATTGAATCACTCTTCAAATTGTTCTTTCCAGCGTTCCAGTTGTCTATCCTGGGAGCTAATTATGGTTCCATTTTTCTCAGAGATAGTGAAGTAGGTAGTTAGTTAAGACTTATATATCTTGGGTTTAGTTATTCTCTCCTCTGATCTTTCCTGTCGATTTCTAGAAAAATATCTTGTCTAACCTTTTGCATAAATAAGACAATCACTCAGCCATTGCGTCTACAGTTTGTTAACCTATGTATTTCGCCTATTCTTCTTTCTTGTTCCTTTCCACATTATATCTTCATGGGCTAGTAAAAAACGACTCTATTAGATTGTGTGGGACAGCATAGGTTGTTGGTAGGGTGAGTGGTGTGTCTGTGCGTCTAAGCCAACATGTTCATACTGTTGCTGAAAGACACTTAAACCCACTCAGGAAATCGGAAATTATGATCGTCTTGGATTGTTAGCAACCGTTCTATGCACAAATCTCCTCTTTCATCCTCTCCGGTAGAAACTTTGGTCAGTTATAAAATTGTCTGTCACATTTGTCAATATATAGAAGAAAACCAGCTGAACGTCAGATTACTGACAGCTTCTTTAAAAGAACTACTACTGAGATGTACACTTAATATACAACAATTCACATTCAACGATGTTATTTACAGACAACAAGACGGGATCGCAATGGGATCTCCACTGGGCCCACTGCTAGTAGACTGCTTCATTACAAACCTCGATAACGGGCCACTCAAATTAACTATTGATAATCTACAGTTGTAGGCTAGATATGTGGATGATATCTCTATTATCTATGATGATGGTCACAAACTTAATCATTTACTACAAATATTCAACAAATTCTATTCAGCTACAAAGTTCACTCTTGAAATTGAAAACAAATCTAAAATTCCTTTTCCTAATGTTGAAATTGGAAGGAGAGCTGATGGAAATTTAAGAAGGTCCATCCATAGGAAACCCACATGGAATGGCCAACTGATAAGCTTCGACAACTGGATACTGATCAGTCGAAAAAAGAAGCCAAATTAAATTTCTTGCTGCTCGCATCCGACGCATCTCCAGCTCTGATACCATGGAAGAAGAAATCTTCGTACAAAATTGTTATCCACTAAGATTCATAGACAAAAACACTAAACAACAAGTCCAAAAGCAAGAGACGCCATCCGTGCCAAAAAAGATACTTTATATGAACCTCTACTTCAAAGGTGAGTTAAACAGTGATGTCCTTAGGAGAAGAATTTCCACTTCTTTAAGAAGAACTCTCTTTGCGGCAACATTGAGAGTAGTGTTCTCCAGTCACCCACTGATCTGCGGAAGCCCAAAGGACAAGATCTCGCACCTGATGGCATCTATTTGTATATATCAGTTCACCTGTTGCTGTGGAGTCAGGTACGTCGGTCGTTAGACGCGCATCCTGTCAAAAAGAGTCAAAGAACACTACCGAGCTTGGCTGCAGAAAGGAAGTAGTGGCCGTATGCAGAGTGCAGTAATCGAACATCTCGTCATCACTGGTCATTCCATCTCAACAAATGCCTCCTTCGAAGTAATCTACAAAGTGAAGGACACACTGCCAAAGACCATATGTTTCCATCTTCTTTGCATCTCAGAAGCCCTAGCCATTCAGTTGGAGGGACCAGAAGTATGCATACAAAAGAAAATTATTCAACCACTACTACTCTCATGGTAACAACTCCGTCTACTGGACTTAACTCTTGTTTGTATACTTCAGTTAGAAAAATAAGTATACTTATTTTTCTAACTGCTTAAAACCCTTGCGTAATTCCGTATGTTCTTATTTTGTTTCCATATAAACCCTGAGCACAACTCTTTCATCACACTATTCATGTTATTGAGTAACTCTTCTTTAACAATCGCTGGTTACAACTCATAACTTTTGTTACTACCCTCTTATATCAACATCCGATTCATGTAAACTTACAAATTGTATTTTCGTTTGACAATTTTAATGTACACACACGTACAAAACAACCAAAATGGACGTCCCCTTCGTCTTCGCATCCATGAACACAAACTAGCCATCAAAAGACATGATATCCACTCCCTCGCTCATATCACTCACTGCATACAGACAACCACGGACATCAATACGACTGGGACAACCAACGTTCAAATATTAGATACAGAAAACAACACCAAGAGTGCTAGAGAATTTTTTAGAAGGGTGCCTCGTATTCCAGTGAATCATCAATCAATAGACACATCAAGTAGACAAAATTTATCAACCGATAAGAAAGAAACCTCACACACAAGGGGTCAAAGTTCAAGCCGAAGAAACAATCAGTTCCAATAATAAGTAGCCTAGAAGGTGTGAAATCGCACAAAAACAACCAATCACATCCAAGTTCACCCACCAGAAGAGATGATTAATAAATTCGTGAAGAAATCTAAAAGCTCACTTCAATTCAAATTGAAGTATGCGCTAACGATGTCGCCTAGCAGTGGGGCGATGAAAGCTTCGTAAATTAACTATCCAGCTGAGAGAACCACCAACCACATCAAAACCCGATAAACTTATTCAATAGATACAACAATTTCTAACTGCGTCATTTATGTATATGTATAGAGAAAGTCGAAAAGGATCAAAAGTTAAAATTTCTATTTCTGCATAGAAGTGCATATCTGCTATTCCTCTTTACTTGTTCATAATAGAATATTGATCCGAGTTAATTGTGTGTATGTTAAATTCTTATATATACGCAGTCCTACACATGCTTAGAGAGATGAAAACAACAAGCAATGGTCGTTAAATGCATATTCACTAGTATTTTGACATATATGCTAATAACCTCAGTTATTGGAAATGGCCCTAGTCATTCAGGTCAACAGAATCACGGTGTAGATGATCCAGTCACTCAAAAAATAGAAGAATCTACTTCAGAAGAAAGCAGCATGACAAATAAAAAACTGAGGGTAGGAATTCAAAGCAAGCAAGACAGACATCGTTATAAATTGCAACATGAAGTCAAGTTGGACGGTGAACGTCGGATATATGGAAAAGGAAAATTTGGAAGGGAATTATACAAAAACGTAAGATTCAGAAAGCATAAAGGACCTAATGACAAACGATTTCGAAAAAAAGTTGATGTAAGCGGACATTTAAGAGACTATACAAGGCGGTATGAATATATTTCGCATAATCTTGAAGGTGAAGAGAATGACGAATTCTCATTCAAACAATGGACGGAAGAGAATTCAGATGATATTGTGCATCAGACTCAAATGGTTCAACACAAAAAAGAGTAACATGAAATTTATATCATCTATGTATCATAAGACAAAAAATAATGAAAATAAATTACAGTCCGAGACAATTACCCTGATAAATAAACCTGTTCGCATAAACTACATTTCTGTTTTTGTTGTCTAAATTAATTTACCTGACAAATTCATACATTTAACAGACTGGAGAGTTCTACTTTTGTTTTAATGTTACGTGTTAAATACACAACAGTGTACAGTGTTCAGAAGAGTATACTGCTTCGCTATGTATATTATTATTGTTGTTCCCTTGGGTTCCTAGTGCAACATAGGGCTTCAACTGCACGTCTCCACTTGCCACTTCTGTCTTCCTCCTGCTGTACTTTTCACCTGCATCCATCTTAGTCCATACTGTTTCAACTCCTCAACTCTTCACACGATCTCCTCCATGTCACCCTTGCACTGACGTCCCATTCACCGCGTGCTTCCCTTTCAGCCTGGTTCCACTTGACCAATGGCCTGACGCGCGCGCGATGTCACCAAGCGGCGGCCTCCTCAGCAAGCGAGTGTCTAATCCATCTCCACTTTCTCCTGCATATTTGTTGGGCGATTGGGTCTTGTTTTGTTTGTTTGTTCCCATAGTTGATTCCTGTTGGTGATTGTTTCTGGCCCGGACATCTGATCTTCAGTATAGAGCCAGCGAAGACAGTTGTTGGTTGATAAAGGTCTGCAACAGGCTGTTGGAAAAATCCTTTGTGACCCGCCCGCCAAGTTTCTGATCCGTATAGAAAGAAGAACTGACTTGACGTCTGTATTGAAAATCCTCCTGAATTTTGTTGTTGATACTGGCTGAGTGACGAATATTTCCAGATTGGTTTCAGGTTGATGAGTGAATGTGTTTCTCGCCTTCCCGATTCTCGCTCGATTTGACATCCTCGTCCGTTCCGACTTCCTGTAGTTGAGACAATGCTCCATAGATAAGTAAGTGAGTGAAGTAACCTATTTCAAATCCCTCCCGTTGATGGTGATTGGCACTGGATGCTGCTGTTGTTGTTGGTTGGTTGTCTGGTTATTTTCATAACCTCCTTCTTGTTTATGTTCACTTGGAGTCCTGTCTTCACCGGCTGCCTCTTCGACCAGTTTGTCGGTTTCCGCTTGTAAGTCTTCGATATTGTGTGACATCAAACATATATCATCGATATGTATGAATCCATAATATTCCAGTTTCATTGTGTTTCATGTTTCAGAAAGCACTCAATAAAACACAATAGGAATAAAAGTTTTAAACTTTAAGAAAAGCAACATTAGGACGTACGCTATAGATCATTAGCGCTGAAGTTTTGCTATCTCAGCAGAGTTAACTAGAGAAATATAAGAAATCTGTTCGTTGGTGGTTCAGTAGTGGGATGGATGCTCGCCATCTATGCATGTGACCAGCGGATCATTTCCCAATCGGCGCATATCTTTACCTCCCTTAGCTAGTTGTAAACCCAACAAAAAAGAGGAAAGGTTGGATGTAAGGCTAGCCAAACCCACCTCGTAGAAGAAACAACACCACTGATACTGAAACTTCAAAGTTCAAGCTCGAAGTCCTATGTTCCACTTGGAACACCATGGGAATGATATGGCATATGAATTAGAGCAATTTAGCAACAAAAAAAAAACAAATTTGCGTTTCTATATTTTAAGTACTATGATTTGAGAATAATAGAACTAAAAGTTTCAAATAGGTAGGCGAAAAATAAACTAGAACCTGAACATCTTCGTTTTTTTCCCAGAAAACTCTTAAGTCAAACAATTTAAGATTCGAGAGAAATTAATTTTTTGATTTGTATTCAAGTATTGGTTTGTAGGGATTTGGTTGATTGGTTACAGGATTTCATCATGAGCTGACATTTTTGGTTGCAATTTTGATATCACATTACACAGTACTAAAACGCGTTTTGTTTTAAAACGTTATACGCTACTGATGGAATATATATGCTATACGGTGAAAGAATAGCATTGAAAAGAGATTGAATAAAACAGCTTTTGTTCTTGTTATTCTTTCTTGGGCACTGAGTGTAAGATAGAGCTGCAACGGCAGATTTTCATTCCACTTAGTTCCCGACCGTTAGTTTCAGCTGGCTGTCTTTCCGACTGTCTGCAAGTTTTAATTTCCTCTTCACATGATCTTCTCTGTGTTACACCCGGACAGCAATCCAGTCGCCTGATGTTTGATGGCACTCAACGGTCTAATCAACGTATGTCCAATCCATTTTCCCATGCGACTGGATTAAATTAACTATTGTGGATCTGATTGACTGACGCCAAATTTTGCTTTGACCACCACTAGCTCTACTCCAACTTGATCAATCGTATGTCAGCTAACATTGCCAGCCGATGAATGCGTAACACATGTCCTAACCATCTCTGTTGGTGTGACTTCCCAACCTCATCGATTGATTTCCCCTCCGACCTACCTAGTACTCGACCGAAGCCTAAACTCAATATTGCTTACTCTATTTATACAACCTAATATGGGAGATAGAACTCAGGTACTTATGATCAAAGACAGCTAGCCAGGCTCTTCATATCTTCCGCTTTCAATAACTGTCTCATAGCCATTAAGGAGGACAGAGCGAACTGCTGAGCAGTACCAATGCTACAGTATGCAAGGTTTTGTAGGACTGATTCAGTGTTACGTAATAGCAACAAATTCAGTACCTACTATACATAACACTTCTGTACTGTTTGAACAAATTATGGAAAACACATTGACTAGGATACAATGACGTCGTCATACTTCTCTGGTTCTTGTCAGCTGCGTAAAACCATGGACAATTTTAATATCAACATGCGAAATATGCAAATATTGCAATAGATATGATAGAGAATATTTGTAGCTCAGGGGGATGATTTTGATGTGGTTGTGTTCTCTGAGCTGGATGGTTGATTTGCGAAGCTTTCATCACCCTATTGGGTTAAATCTTCAACTGAAGATGGGATTGCAGGTGCCTCCAACTGACAGGAACCAAACAGGACAAAATGCTCCCCCAGAGTCCTACTGCCATCTGCTAGCAGCCAAATACTATTCTTTGAAGGAGAAATTATTCTGCATGCAGCTGGATAGTGCATTTCCAACTATTATCTCCAAAATATAGTTAGAAACAAGCACCCCCTCCAGATCATTTGCAATAATTAATTTCACTGCTAAAATGAAGGCTTAGTTATATTCGCTTTGTATTCTACTGATAATGCTCATTTAAACTTCCAAACTAAGAATACTACTAATTTAATCAAAAGTAGTTTGTTAGACGACGTAACGAATTCATTTTTTTAGATTTTGCGTTTTGATTTATTTCGGCATAGATTGTCTTGGAGTGATATCAGTTTCAAGGTCCAAAACCTTTAAAGGAATCTAAACTCTGAAAAGCTGTCGGCATTGGGATCAATCATATTAGGCGTGAGACAAAGTGTCATACAAAAAATAAGGGAAATGAAAAAGAATGATGGTACAGTAGACAAAGACTAACTTTCAGAGTAGAACTTTGCGCAGAGTTGTAGCATTTCAAGCTGGTATACTCCATGCAGGATATAAGGGTAGAGAATAGAAAAAATTCAGAGAACTATATTGAGAAGAAATATATGGGAAAAAGAATGGTAATAAATATGGTGAAGCACGAGGACTTAACGGATCGGGGAGATTACGAGTGAATGGACCTACGCTAATGAGAACGGTTGAACCATATCATCAATAGTCTCAACCCTAACCTGACAGTCTATACTTCCCTACAAAGCCTAAACCAACAGTCAAAGATCCCATCTATTATTGTCATGTTTCCAACAGACCAATCCTAACTGGTTCCTAACTTTGTCGTATTTCAGATGATAACGCTCGTTGAAGAAGGCGGTGGCTAAGCTTGCGTAAAATGTATTATAGTCATTTCTATCGGTCAAGGTTAATAACAATATCTATCGACTAACTCTCCTTATGTAACTACATTTTTTCCTTCACGTTCCCCAGTGGAACATAGAGCTTCAAGCTAGTGGCTTGAAGTTTCTGTAGCAGTGTTTATTTTTACAGGATGGGGTTGCTAGCCTCATGCCCAACCTTCCCTCTTTGCCATCATTGTTTCTGCCTTAGCGAGGTATAGGAATGAGTCGTCCGGGGATCGAACCCTGGACTATGTGCATGGTTAACGAACGTCCTAACCGCTGTGCCAGCGACGCACATGTAACTACATTAATAAACATCAAAGACATGGATAACCTATCATAATCAACCGTGTCGCAGCTATGTGTAATGATTGACTGAGCCGCTGCATAGAGCATTTGTCATTAGATAGACAACTGGGTATCACAACTGCACTAGAAATAATATAGTTCACTGCATGCTATTTGTGCAGAGATCCCAAAAGCAAACAGTCCCATTAGAGATGACGCAACGTTTATAATATATGAAGTAGCCAGCACATTAAAAGTCACTTCTCTTCGTGTCAATAAACCAGTGGAGGCTAGTTCTGTTGTGCCATCTTACAGATAGATGCAACTATGATGGGTGCAAAAAAGTGCTATGAAATAAAGGTTGGTTAAATAACGATTAGAGTAAAAGCAGTTAAATTAATAGGCTGAGTTGTCCAGTGCATAGTGGAGGTATGGAGACGAAGTCATAATGATGGCCGATAATGGTATAACAACACCAGAATATTTCGTTCCGGTAGAAACTTTAAAAACTTCAACTCTAATCCGTCCAGGAAATATCGGTCTAAAACAGTTGTCTCCTGAACTCTACAGTCACATAGGGCTTATCATTCTGTCAATATAACTGCCCAGATGGTTTTTTCACCTCCTAACTGTGTAACAATAGGTAGAGAATTAAGCCGAAGAAACATTGTTCCTAGTTCCTTAAATCCATTCTTACTTCACACTGGAACTGCCAGTGATATTACAAAATATTTGGCGAAAAACCTTAGGCGACAAAATTCAGACATTTCAGGTTTGCGGGCATTTTGTATCTTTGAACCAAGTGTCTGCATTCATTTATTTAATGTTAATCCACATGA